TAACAGTCTGCAGAATCCCCTCACTGATTACACTGTAAATGATAATCTACCTTAACCAAAATCAAAGTAGACTATCACTCACCCACACCAGATGGAAAACTCTATAGACTGTCGGTTCACATCCCATCACAAGCCAGCAAAACATCCATGAAACAAATAAAGGCCTGTCACAGCCAAAAAATACACTCCAGACACGCCGCTGGCACTAGAGGCACAGCATGGCCGCCTAGTAACGGCCCCAACCACTGCCGCTCAACCTGACTGGAAAAAACCGTAGCAGGAAGCTAGCGAAGTCGTAGTATATATCGTCACAAACAGAACTGCCCGGTAAACTTTAGGCAGAGAGAGAGAAGAGGACAACAAACGAGGGGCTGTGACAAACTGTTTCGTCGGAGTTTCACAGACTCATCAGGAGGCTGAACCCTAACAGTCTGCAGAATCCCTTCACTGATTACACTGTAAATGATAATCTACCCTAACCAAAATCAAAGTAGACTATCACTCACGCACAAAGTAGACTATCACTCACCTATATATATATATATGTGAACCGACAGTCTGTAGAGTTTTTCATCTGGTGTGGGTGAGTGATAGTCTACTTTGATTTTGGTTAAGGTAGATTATCATTTACAGTGTAATCAGTGAGGGGATTCTGCAGACTGTTGAGGGTTCAACCTCCTGATGAGTCAGTGAAACTCCTCTGTGCTAACGTAGTACAAGAGGCAAAAAAAAAGAAAGGAAACCGAGGTACCAGTGGGGCACGGCATGGACCAGTCGGGCCCACCATGGGACCGGTCCGTCACGGCATGGGAGGACTGGTAGTCGGGCCTCGTCTTTTGTCACACGTCGACTCCAGGGTACCTGTCTTTTGTCACACAGCGACTCCAGGGTATGCAGGTAGAGACATCTACTGGCTGAGACGGGGGGTTGTTATTTCCTGCGAAGAGAGGGGACGGAGTACGAGTGATTTGGGAAACGGCGATCCGTGTCCGTCAGAGTAGATTGGCATTAATCAAACCCCCTTTAGACCCCCTTTTGAGTTGCGGCGGGACTTAGCGAAAATGAACTGCGAAGTTTTCGATCTCAAAGAGCTGGTAGTATGCTTCCATACATATTCGGATCTTGACACTTTGCGTGAAGCAGCATCTGCATCCTCCCCCAGTGTTCCTCCTACTCTCTCAGCAGTCTGTGGAGCTTGCCATCCCCATCCCCATCCCCTCCTCCTCCTCCTCCTCCTCCTCCTCCTCCGCTGCCTCGTTTCTTTCTTCTTCCTTCTTCCTTCTTCCTTCCGTTCGTTCCTCTTCGTCCTCCTTCCTGCTTTTCGCTCTCCCTCTTCTTGCCCCTCTTCCTCCTCCTAGTCTGTCTCGGTTCTCTGTGTTCCTCTCCTCTTCTGCGCGTTCCAGAGCAGGAGAAACACAGGCTCACAGATAGACTGTTTGACGATATATACGTACGTCGTCAAACGGCTTACGGGGTAGTTCTGTTTGATTGTAAATATCTATATATATACACATTTGTGACGATATATACACATACATATATACATGTAGATATGTGCATATATATATATTTATGTATATATAGCCTCTCGTTTGTTGTCCTCTTTTCCCTCCCTCTCTGCCTACGGTATACCGTGCAGCTCTGTTTGACGATATATATACATATCCAGCCTCCTGATGAGTCGGTGAAACTCCGACGAAACAGTTTGTCACAGCCCCTCGTTTGTTGTCCTCTTCTCTCTCTCTGCCTACGGTTTACCGGGCAGTTCTGTTTGTGACGATATATACATCGTCATATATAATGAACAGGAATCCTGAATGCATGGAAGCCACGTTTGCGGTCAGGTACACGTTATTAGTAATGATGTCCATGCTTTCGATTCGATTAAAGCTACTCTGCTCGGAACTTCACCATAGCCAGCACCACCGCTACCGCCATCGCCCTCTTCTTCTCCGTCATTCCCATTCATTTGTTACCTCTCTCCCCCTCTCCCCCCCCCCCCCCCCCCTTCCCCCCGTTACTCTCATTCTGCTAATCCTCGCTCGTGGCTCTCCTCCACCACTCCTCTTTTCTCCTCCTCCTCCTCCTCCTCCTCTTTCTCCTCCTCCTCCTCCTCCCCCGCCGAACCAGTCATCATCTTCTTCGTCTTGGACGTTGCGCCATCGCTCTCGCCATCGCAGTGACCTATCCGTGCCCAGATCGTCGTCGCTATGTTTATCACCTTTTGCTCAGCTCATCATGGCCATCGTCTTCCTCGTGCCGATGCCACGATTGCTTTCCATCGCCATCGCCATCGCCATCGCCATCGTCATTCCTAGCCCTAACAACACCGTTGCCATAGTCTTCTTCGTGCTGATGTCAATCTCGCCATCGCCCTCTTTTCCTCTTCCTCCTCTTCCAAGTCCACGTCAGCACTCGTCTCTCCTCTTCATGGTGATGTCCTTGTCTCGATCGTCTTCCATCGCCCTCTCTCCTCCTCTTCCTCCTCCCTCTTCTCCTCCCCCCTCCTCCTCGTGCAAGTTTACGTTACCACTCCCCTTCGCTCTCTCTCTCTTCGTCGCTCTCCATAGTCGCTGCTCTTTCTCGTACTGGCAGCGCCATCCTCGCCGTCGCCATCACCATCACCATCACCATCACCATCACCATCACCATCACCATCGCCGCCATCGCGGTTACTATTGCCTCAATCGCCATCTCCATCACCATGATATCGCCATCTCCATCGCCATCACATCGCCATCGCCATCGCCATCGCCATCGCCATCATCATCACCGTTATCATCACCATGCCGCCATTGCGATCGCCAACTAGCGCCACGACATCGTCACCGTCATCGCGATCGGTATCCCGGTTACTGTGAGAATCATCGTCGTCTATCATCATAATCGAGTCCTTGTTCGTTTTTTCCTGAAAACAAAAGACTGTAATGGTACCAATCATAGGAATACGATACACGACGACAATTATGGTAACGATCACCACGGTGTATCAAGTCTATTACGGTCCGTCAGTTCTTCTCATCATCATCATCATCATCATCGTCTTCATCATCATTATCATCGTTTATCATCATCATCGTCATCATCATCATCACGATCTTCTCATCATCATCATCAACTTCTCGTCATCATCATCGTCATGATCATCGTCATCATCATCATGATCTTCCTCTCATCATCATCAACTTCTCGTCGTAATCATCATCATCGTCATCATCATCGTCATCATCATCAATTTTGGATTGGAACTCGACCATTATTTCTGCAGTCCGTCCTCTCAGCTTGGATGACGTGTATCACTGGGAACGCGTAACGTTCATATACGTGTCTGAAGAATGCAGAGTTTCGCGCGCGCGCGCGTGTGTGTGTGTGTGTGTGTGTGTGTGTGTGTGTGTGTGTGTGAGAGAGAGAGAGAGAGAGAGAGAGAGAGAGAGAGAGAGAGAGAGAGAGAGAGA